CGCCCCGCCCTCGTCTCCGCCCCTCCTACTGGTCTTGGTGCTGCTTCAGCTCCCTGGTTGTGGGGCTTCTGTGCAGCCGGATCTCAGGAGGCTCTGAGTGACTGTGGTTCTGGATTTTAGTTTTAATTTTGATGTGGTTGCAGGAGGCGGTGGGTGCAGCTGCTACGTACGCCACCATCCTGTTTCCTCCCCTGTAACATTTTTAATAGCAGTAAAAATAAATAGCTACCACAATACACAGAATAGTAAAAGAAGGACATAGTAAAATAATGCCATTCAAAGCTATAAATATTCTACACTTGAGGCTTGAGGATGGGAGAAGATCATGAACATAAACTTTCTACCAAGAAAAAATGTCTTTCTGATAGAAATGCCCTAAGCCCATTTCTAAAATGGAACAGATTTCTCTGTGAAATATTTGTTTGAAAAAGTCCTAGTTATATCCAAAATGTGGGAGAGGAAGCAAAAGAACCTTAAACACAATAATTATAGTAAAGTTAATTTGTTTAACCACAATTATTTTTTTTTAAATAAATCTTTATTGATTTCAGAGAGAGGAAAGGAGAGGGAGAGAGAGAGATAGAAACATCAATGATGAGAGTCATTGATCGAGCCCGCAATCCGGGCTTGTGCCCTCACCGGGAATTGAACCCCTATCGCCTGGATCCCAGGTCCACGTTCAACTGCTGAGCCACACCCGGCTGCGCCACAATTATTTCTTAGATAAGGTCAGGAAATCCCAGGTAGCCCTCACTGCATTGGAGGGTAATAGAGTTAAAAGAAAAGGAAAAATTATATCAAAAGAAAGGTATTAAAATGTGCTAAAAAAATATCTTTGCCAACTTAACAATTTTTTTCCACATTAGTCCCTAGATGCAACTTAATTAAATGCGCTTTTTTCTCTCTAAAAACAACTTCTAGTAGCATTTTAGTCACTTTTTTTGTTAACCATACAAATAAATAATGTCTTAAAAAAAGAGAAAGTAGCATTTTTACAAGATTTATAATCTAAAAGAGCATAATAATCAAATTTTTCTCTAAATATTAACTTCCAAACTTGAGAGCAATAGACAAATATTTTTTTTAAAGAATTTTTTTGTAAAATTGCTGGTCTGTTAAAATGTTTTTCAGTTGAATTATTGAAACCAATAACCAGTGACCAAGCCACATAGAAATAAACAGTTCCCATACAGTGCACAAATGAGTTCATAATAAAGAAACAGGCAGAAAGCAAGTCTTTGTAATTTTACCTTTATTCATTAGGGAAAACAACATATTAGATGCTTTTGTACAAGACTGTGCTAGAAATTGTACCAACTGTACCAATGGGATTTAACAAATCAGGTTATAAAATATACTGCTGAATTCCAAATGTTCCTATAGTTAAAAAATTAGAAGCAAAGCACAATTTACATTTATCAATGCTAAACCAATGAATATTTATTGAGAGTAAGACAACAAACAAGGTGGTGTGAAGGTGGCAGGAGTGGGGGAGGGGTGGTACAGAGATGAATATACTATAACAGGAGAACCAATAGTGCAAAACTAGTTTCTGAAGCAAAATATAAGAGTAGCCAGTTGCCCCAGCCTGTGTGGCTCAGTTGGTTGGAGCATCCTTCCGTATACTGAAAGGTGGTGGGAGCATAGGGCGATGGTTGGCCAAAGAAAGGGCTAGAAAAATCTGAGGAACTCTTCTGGAGGAGGTCACACTTAAATGTAGCTTTGAAAGATAGGTGGGATTTTGACAAGAAGATAAAAGAAGAAATTGGAAGAGATAACTACTTTTGAGAATCGGACTTGTTATATTATTACTTTTGTCCTAAGAAATTTATCTAATTAAATTTGACTACCAAAATATAAATTAGCTTATTTTTAAAGGGATCAATTTCAGAGAAGCATTTATACCCTAGAATCTTTTTGACAGCGTTAAATAGATTCCATGTAGTTCCTTTATTTTTCTAGATGTGATAGACTTTTCTGAGTACTAAAGTATAATTTCTGTTCTTAATCTAAAGAGAAAAGAAAAAAACATGTGAGGTCTAAGATTGATTTATTAATAATAATTTAAAATATGAGTTTATTCTTGGTGCAAACTGCATTTTAAAAAATATTTTTCATATCTATTTGAATCAGAAGGCATATTATATCATAATTAGAAAAAATGCTTTATAAAAATAAAGTTGGCATTTTATATATTTTTTTATCAGATCGTCCAAAAGAGTTTTATAACTAATAATTAAATATGATCTTCAGCATGAACTAGTCACCATTTGCAAAACAGGTCAAATTTTAAATTTGGGGCCTCACAGGCCAAACTCCTACTAAATATTAACACTCCTCAAGGCTTGCTTTAAGGTATGGGCACATTCTGTTCTTAAGGGGATAGTAATGGAACCCCTAAAACTGAGGTTTACCTAGAAGCGAGTGAGAAATTCTGCCAATGTATCATCCTGTTTTGAGCTTCTTTCTGGCCCTCACACATGAGATTTCCTAAACCTGAACTTCCTTTCCCCACTTGTTTGCTGAGCTAACTTTACTTAACCTTCACATTTAAGTACAACATTAATTCAGTATTCATTTTCTATTTCTGCTATAACAGACAACAACAATTTTAGTTGTTTGAAACAACTCAAACACATCATCTTACAGTTTTGGAGATCAGAAATTAGAAACAGGTCTCACCAGGTTGAAGACAAGGTGTCGGCAAGGCTGCACTCCTCTCTGGGCCTCTAGAGAAGGCTCTTTCCTTGATCTTATTCCATCTTCCAGAGGCCACCCACATTCCTTTGCCTCTTCTCCCACCTTTAAAACCAGTAATTCAGCATCATTCTCACTCTTCTTCCACAGTTACGTATTCCTCTGGCCACAGCCTGGAAAAGCTCTCACTTTTAGAAATTTGCTTGATTAGGTCAAGCCTACCTAATCCAGGATGATCTCCCATCTCAGGGTCCTTAACCTCAGTCACACGTGCAAAGTCCCTGTTGCAATGTAAAGTAACATATTCACCAGGTTCCAGGGACTAAGGCATGGACATCTCTGGAGGGTCATTGTTCTGCCAACCGCAGCCTCCAAGCATGATTTCTAAGCTCCTACTCTCTCAACCTTGGAATTTATCACTCGTTTGCCTTCCCAGTCTCTCCCTTGGGATTCTGACTTCCTTTAGGACAAGAACCATTTCTTATCCCTCAGTACTAACACATTCATACTCAATGCACTCAATGCATGATTATTTCATAAACAGGTAAATACCAATTTTAGTTAAAACTGTGCACAAAGAATTAGAAGGTGAGGAAGGTAGTTGTGGATTTGGAATAAGGTCTGTGCTTTTAGAAGGTGAAGCATGCGAGGAAAAGCAAAAAACTATGAGATAGGGAAGATGTTTTTTAAAATTCAAGGAATATTTTTATGGCCTCATTCTACAATTTGCATTAGCTAAAGGAGAATTGGGCTCTTTAAATGCAGTTCTATGCAATTCTTTGCCAGAAGCCCACTGCAGTGGTGGGGAGATACCCAGCATTCACGTGCTCCTCACTGACATTTCAGGACCTGGAGAGCTGCAGACTTCGTTTGGATCCTGAGTTGGACCGGCACAGATATGAGAGGAAGATCAGCTTTGCCGGGGTCCTGGATGAAAATGAAGACTCAAAAGATTCCCTCCACAGTAGTAGCCACACTCTCAAATCAGATGCAGGTGTTGAGGAGAAGAAAGGTAGGGAAAAGCAAGGATTATTTCATGTTTCAGGGTTTCTTGTAGAATATTTGGTCTGGGATCTAAACTGCAGAATTGAGCACCCAAAGAAGTCCAAGACTGTTGGCTCCATACAATACTGTGTCCATTTAACAAGGTAGGAAGCCATTCTAGTTGGGAGTTGGACTCTTCAGTCCAAGAGACTTGGGTTCTAATTCCAGCTCGGGTTCGAATTTCAGCACCTCTCCATTTCCCATTGAACCTAAGATGCCATCATTTGTAAGATGAGATTTTATTCTATGTACCAACAAGAAAGGAAATATGCTCCCAATTCAGCTCTTACGTAAAACTTTCTGATCGCATTCTTATTGAAAGAAGACTTTCAGATTTAATTAGATGTAAAATTTTGTTTTCAGCATATATCATTCTTGTGCAGCCAAAAAAAAAGGTAAAGTGTAAATAAACTAGTTACAGGGTTTTCAAACTATCCTCAGTTCCGAGTTCAAATTTCTTAACCCTTCTTCAACTCAGAATTGTCAATGTCCATGTTGTTTTTTAAAGGATTATGTCCTGTGTGTCATCAGAATGTTAGTAATACATCATTTTTAAATTAATCTATAAAAGAAGTAAAGCTATTGGTGCTAGTTACTTAAGGAAATATTCAGTTGTGTGAAGCTAGCCTACCTTCAATTCCTGCTTCAGAAATTTGCCAAACACATCTGACTTAGCTCCTCACCCACCCTCCACCCAGCTACCCTTTGGCTCCTTGGAGTTAAAAGACACTGGTACCCATTCTGTAAAGTTTGTTGCTGATGCTTCAGATGTTCACATGGACACAAGTAATAACAAAGGTGTCACAACTGCCCCCTGGCACTAGTGTTCTTAAGATATCGTCAACTATAAGACAGAACTCAATGTCAGATATGTTAAAATGTGAAAAAATGTGCATCTTAAAATGCTAAACTATAGTAACTAGCTGTGTAACCTTGTCCAAGTTACTTACCTCCTGAGTCACAGTTTTCTTCTCCGTAAAATTGGTTTAATAACACCTACCACGTTCACGATGTTGAAAGCTTTAAATGAGAAAAGGCAAATAGAGCATAAAATCAGTGCCTGGTACACAATAGGTACACAGTAAATAATTGTTATCATTGTTTTTTAATATCATGTAGATTTGAGCATATAGATTTGAACCCATGCAGAACATTTTAAATATGAGCTAAAGTAAAGAATGTAAAGTTTTAAGTTGCGCTCTAAAGTTAACTTCTCTATCTGATTTTGCTGTTTCTTAAATTCTGTTGCACAGCATCATTTTTCTAGTGAATTTCAGTGAAAAGAACATCAGCACATTTGTAAAGAGTCAAAGGTGATTTTATGCTTTTGGTATTTTCTAGTGTGCTATAGACAATGAGTCCATGAATTTTGATGTTTTAAAGAATGAACAATTCTTGGAAGGAATAGCCCTAAATATAGAAGACATACAATCTTTAAAATCTTTAAAGTCTCTAAAATCTTTCATGGAATGGATATACACGGGAATTATTTTTTAATATTTCAAGATTGTTGTCACAACAACTTAAAAATGCAAATAATTGTTATATCATAATAAACTTATGGTGAACCAAATATTTTCAGCCAAATCTTAACAATTTCTGCATATGAAGGACTACCAAGTCAATATATTTTCAAGCATTCCTACTTAAGACAAGGATAACTGCATATGACAAGAAACCTCCATCTTTTCAATGTAATCCAAGGGGATGTTTGCTTGGTTTTTGCCCATTCAAAGTTATTATGTTAATTATTATTTAAAGTAGCTGAAATAAAAATTTCTAGTACTGACATGGTTAAATTTGAGCAGAGTAAATTCTACACCATTTTAAGAAAATATCAGGTTAATTTTAAGAACACTTTAATTTCATGGTAATCATTTGTATAGGTTGTTTATAATATCCAAAGACACAAATGATTAGTATTGTCTCTTTTCATAGAGTGGCTATGTTAACATATGAAAGTTGTTTATTAAGTGAAGAGCAGAAAAATGAAACTATAAATGAAATGAAAGCATATCCATAATATATCCTTTACCAGTTAGCAAAAATCCTCCTGAAGATTCCTAAATATTCCTGAATCCTTTTGATAAGCAGATATCAGCTGCTAAATCAATGTTAAAATGGGTGCCATGAAGAAGCCTGCTAATTTAGATTATAAAAATTTTATTTAACATATCATGCCATCTGTTTTCATTAAAGCAAAAAAAATATCAATTCTTGAAATAAACAACCTGGGGACAATTCAGATTCTACCGAGGAAAACTAACATGAAATAATTTTTAAACTAAAAATGTCTGCCTAAAATCTCCAAGCAGGATCTGTCCAGTCATTTCACCCATATTCCAAATACAAACTAAGACAGGTATTCCAATACATAAGACATTTATGAGTATTCAGCAATCACCTTTTGGGCACCTACTTTATGCGAAGCACTATAACAGGTTCTCAGAAAACTGCCATGAAGAGGAAATTTTCCCCTCATATATTTTAGTTTATATTAGCTAATAGTTAATAACATAATAGTGGATAACATTAAATACTTTTTTAGGAGAGATAAGTTGTATGAAAGAAAACAAATTAGGGTCAGAGAATTGGTAGCAACCTAGAGTAGGGGGATTGTAGTTCAGAGAAGGACCCATAAGTGACACTGAGCAGAGACTAGTCTGGGTGAAGGAGCCAGTCATGCAAAAGGCTGCGGGAGGAGTTTCCTAGAGACAGCAGCGAGAACAAGGTTCTTATGCAGGAATGAACTTGGAGCACTTGAAAAAAGGTAAAAAGGCCAACGTGGCTGGGAAAGAATGAGATGGGAAGGGTGCGAGGAGGGATGGGATGGGTCAGAAGCCTATGAAATTTTGCCTATGAAATTTTGATGTGTGGAGCCAGCAGGACTTGCTAATGGATTTAATGTGGGGTGAGAAAAAATGGATAAAGAGATGTTTTATCTAATTTGGAAGAATTTGTTTCATTTTCATGCTAGTTCTCGTTGTCATGGAGATAAAGGCTAAAATTCAATGCTGTGCAATCTCAACTAATGTTTTTCATGTATGATACCAAATATGAATTCTGTTATGTCCTTTGTAAATAGTCAATGCCATGTTCTTTTATTTCCTTTATTTTATTTCATTTTATTTTACTTTATTTCCATCACCATTTATCCCCTCTAAACCCTCCC